TGCTCACTATGGTCAAATAAGCAATGGAAATTTTCCAAATTGGGGAAAAGCAGCTGAAAGTTACTCAACTGTCTCAGTAATGGAGCTGATGGTGGAAAATGAGGAAGAAGTAGGTGGGCACTCTGCCCTAGATTCCACTGAGCATGCCCTAAGGGACATTAGCATATGTTAATAATGAGTTCTTGAAAAAGAATACGGATGCTGGTGTACTGCATATAAGTGTCTTAACTGTTCAAAAGTAGAACCTGAACTCTGAGAAGGCACAACTAAGATCATCTCAAACTAAGCAGTTATTTAAGGGGTACTACTGTTAAAAACCTCTGGACAGGAAGATCTGCCAGTAGATCTAGTTGCCATTTCAGCATTACTGCATCGTTCTCATTTCACTTTTTATCAGTATAACTGACATCAGTACTGTACATTATGTCAGGTGAAGGAACACAATATTTTCCCAAGCATTTCAATGATTTTCTGAGCACTCAAAGGTTTCTTGCCTGACTGTTTTGCTCTCTTGTTTCATATGCAGTTGCACTGTCTGTTATCTGGGAAATCAGAGAAATGCTAAATGCCTCACTATACCTATAAAATAAAAGCAACTCAAGCCATTCCTATTTGTCTTCTAAATTGTTAAATGACTAAAACAATCCTAGCACTAAACAGCAATCTTCAAAATGATTTCTGGCTTGGGAACAGATCTGGTGTTAGCAAAGGGCAGGGACCATTATGGAACATGCAATTGGTTTAAGAGCAACAGTGCAGGCTATTCAATACCAGCTAGTTGGTTTCAGAGCTTGGAAACATTCCTGGACATGCTTAACTTACTTGGGTAGTACAGCCTATGCTTATAGCTACTGAAGAAATCTCACAGTGCAAGTTAAAAAAACAAATGTAAACCCTTAAAATAAAGGGAATAAAAAATCACTTTGCAATTACTTACATCTTGCTTATCTCATCTCAGTGGATCAGAAAGACTGCATGAGGAGAAATTATTTTGTGTCATAACCAGCTCTAGCTAGAAAATAGAACCCCAAATGCCTTCCTAACCTCAGTAAAATCTTCCTCAGAAAGATGACCTTGCATTTTGTAAACAGCATTTTTCTTTTTAATTAAGAGGAAGCCTGATTATCAACTCAACATCTGCCTGAGCCCTGACACAAGAATGTCTTACTGGTCCTGACAAGGACCTCTCTCTTCTGAGATCTGCTGCCACTCTACAGACCCAGAGGCCCCATTTCACCTCAGCAGCAGTGCTCAGCCTCTGCTTAAGCTACATCAGAACAGCACTGGCCTGCAGCTCAGCCACAGCCCCACACATGAACTCCATGGATTCAGACCCCAACTCAAGGACTGGCTTCCCAACATGACCTCAGACCTGCCTCATCACTACAAACCCACTGGAATCCCAAACAGTTCCTTGAACATCATCACAATCTCAGCATGGCACTGTGGCAAGGACCTGACCCTGCTAGCCGCATCAGGTCCAGCTCTGCAGCCACAGGCAGCAGCCAGCCCTGCTGCTCCCCAACAACATTCATCAGCAAGCTACTTCTGGATAAAGGGCAGATCTCACTTTTTTGCAGTATTTCTTTTGAAGTTTTATGATGTGCATGTTGGCTCTATTCAAGGTACAAAGTTAAGGTGGCTAAATCAGACAAATGGATCAGTTGCACTGAAGTGCAAATCGTCAGCCTAGAAAAAGCATCGCCAGTTGAGTTCCTGATGGATCTACTTAGGGAATAATCTTAATTAATATTTCCACTAATGGACATGGGTCAAAAAGAGGAGCTTTGCTAATGACACTAAGTTGACAAGAATGCAAATGAAAGCAGGAATATGGTGGGGAAAAAACAACGAAGATTATCTGGGAAACTGAAATACAAATGGAGTAAGATCAAACACTATGCAATGCAAGCACAGTAACACAGCAACTTCTGACAGGAACTTCCACTTAAAAGCAAAAATATCATCAATTCAGAAAGACAAAGCAGAGACCTCAGTGGACTGGTTCAGTGCCTGGTGACTGCTCACCAACTCTGTGAAGTGACTGCAGAAGAAAAATGTGAACTGAGGCAGTGCAGATGAAATACCACCAATGAAGATAAGAATTAACAACTGTAGTCCTGTTGTACAAGGAGCTTGTGGGTCCTCATTCCATCTACTGAGCTGCTCTTGTTCTTCCACAGTGAAGAATATAATGGGAGATACAGAAGGGACCTAATGAACACAGTCTGTTTTATTAAGGGATATTACAATTACTTAGTTTATTTAGCCCAGCAAAATGATTACTGAGGCTAAATACTGTTTCCCCCTCGCCCCTCCCATAAACACAAAAGGGACATAAGAACACCAGAAAAAGAGAAATATTTTAAACACAAGTTTAGTCCATCACAGATGTGTACAAATGGAAGGTTTCCAAAGATTAACTTTCTGGAAATTCACCGCATTACAATCACAGGAGGAAAACTAATCTGCTCCAGAGAGACCGTAATCAGATGATGATGGGATCTATGATGTAATTGTCTGTGCTAGTGGGGAAATAAATGCAGTGACTTAAAAGGTGCCTTGGTTATTAACTAATGGATCCAGCTCACGCTCCTAGCCTCATTCCTGTCCTCTTTTTACAAGACTAGGATGCAAAAAGCATATAGGTATGTCACAGCTGGAAGTATGTAACTTGTGTCACACGCACAGATATACCTGCACAGAGTAGGGCACCTATTAGCCAGTCAAAGTTCACAGGTTAGCATCAATAAAGCAATGTAAACTTTCCCTCTGAACTGAGCTGGAAACACACACAGGTCAGCCACTCATGTATGTGTTGTGTTAACATTCATGTTGCCACAATACAAGCCAGGTCTGCATGAGCAAGCAGAGCTGCCCAACAGAAGATCTGTCAGAAGAAAAAAAAAAACAGTTGGTGCTCAGGAGGACCTGACATTCACACTGAAAACATTCCAGGGGGTTTTCCCTTTTTTGCTAACTATCTTCCCACTCTGTTGTTACTGAAGTGCATTAGATGCATTCCTGGAACTCACTGTCTAGTTAAGTCATTTAAAATCATTCCAGTTCATGTTCTGGAAAATGATGAAAATCAAAGAATGGTAAAAGGAGACAAAAAGAAATTTGCTTTAAAAGCTCATTCTCAACGTGAGCTAAAAAACTATAAATACTTTGATACCCACTGTCATTCTGAAGCTAAGATTGCGGTCATTACAGCACTACCAGCCTTTTTGCTGCATACAGCTTGGGATGGACAGAACTTACCTCCCCTGAAGTTGCTCTACCATTAAAATTTCAGCAGATGCCCCCACCCTCCCATTCCTTGAGAGGAAAATACTGGGTTAATTCATCCAGTGATAGTGAATGGACTATCCAGTCTAATGAAAACCACAGGTGAAACACTTTCCCTGTTAACAGGCATCACTGTGCCTCATTTGATAACAGCTATGTCAGAATCATTTCCATCTTGCCCCATGCTCATTAAAAACAGGTTTAAGAAAGGAAGTTTCAAGGCTACACTGAATTGAACTGTAAGGGCTTTCTGGTCTGTTTTGCTTTCCTTCCTTTCCTTTAGACCATCAATAAAACATTAGTTGTGAATGGCTGATTTGTTCCAGTTCCAGCAGGTATATTCCAGGCTCACTGCAAGGCTTTTCATTCTGAAACTGTTTTTGACATAACACTGCTATGTTAACCATCTGCCTGAGCGACAAGTCCCAGATAAACAGTTTTATTGGGATACCCTGTGTCCATACACACACCTCTGCCAGACAACCAGGGGCAATCTAAAATACCTGAAGTCCAAAAATAAACACTATAATTGTATTGTATGTACGTATACTGAAAGATTTTAATAGAATATGCAGTGTGACAGACCCACACAGAGGCATATGAAAAATACGTACCACATTTATTATTTATTAACAATGAAGGAAAAAAAACCCTCCAATCCAAGCCATTTTGTTTTTCCATCTCATGATGGATGTCTTGATAAGCTGCAAGGAAGGAACAGGAATGACTTCCTCTGGAGGTGGAGTAGGAGTCTGATAGCTTACTGCACTTCACATTATGTGCTGAAAGAGCAAAGGTCCTTTACTGCCATCACCTGGAGTAAATGAAACCAGCAAAAGGAACTTCCTCTAAAAGCAATACAGGCAAAACTCAAAGTTGCATGCCGTCATGAGGACAAAATGACAGGATAGGATAATTAAGGATGGAAAAGAACACTAAGATTATCTAGTCCAACTCATCACCACCATGTCCAGTAAACCACGTTCCTCAGTACACATCTACCTGCTTCTTGAACACCTCCAGGAATGGTGGTGACTCCAGCACTTCCCTGGGCAGCCTGTTCCCGTACCTCACCACTCTTTCTGAGAAATTGTTTTTCCTAATATCCAACTGAACCTTCTCTGGTGAAACCTGAGGCCGTTCCCTTTTCTCCTACCGCTGGTACCTAAGAGAAGAGGCTGACCCCCACCTTGCTACAACTTCCCTTTAAGGGAGTTTTAGAAAGTGATAAGGTCTTCCCTGAGACTTCTCTTAGCCAGACTGAACAATCCAAGGAACAATTCCCTCAAGGAGATCATCTTTTGTGTGTTTTGCTACAGTTCAAGAGAGGCAAAGGCCCAAGCACTATTCAGTAAAACTCAGCAAAAGGGCAATGTGTGCCTAACCCAAAAACTCTGCCAGTAGCAGTGGCTATACAGCAGTGCTCTACATTGTAGTTTGGTAATGGAACATCAGGTCCTAGGATAAGATAAATTTGCTATAGAACTGTACCCAATGAAGCCATTAATTAAAAAATCTTCCCCAGGGAAACTCTACGTATCTTTTTGCCTATTGGCTTAGGCAGCGTCAATATCTTTGATCACATTTCTTTATATGATTTTCCTTATCACAATTCCCTAATCATCTAGCTTAAGTATGGAGCTTAAGCTGCTCCATTTTGACAGCAAACGGTCCCTGTTATTGTGACACAGCACAGTCACCATAGTGACATTTCTGAACATGTGAACATTCCATCCCGGCCTCCTCCTCCCCACCAAAACAGGTGCCATTGCACTGCATCCTGCTCCTGGAAGGACAAATCTCACTGCCTGGGGAAAGAGCCATGGACAAGAAATTCTGCCAGGGTGAGAAATTAATCATTGAACATGTCGCTCTACTTTATCAAAAACATCAAATGTTTCTATTCTAAACAAGCCTGCAAACAAAAGATTTCTTAGACTTGTCTAGCTGTTGAAGTTGTCCAACAGCAAGCTTTGAGACAAAGTGAAGAAACAGTCTCTTACACTTGTCATCCTGCTTCTTTATATAAAACCTCCCTCAATAGGGCTTCTCTCAGCCATCTCTCAATTGGGGTTTATTTCAGGCCCCTCTTTATGGGGGCTTCTCTCAGCCCTCTCTCAATAGGGCTTCTTCCAGCCCTTTCCAGACCAGTCTGCTTTCTGTGTCCCTGTCTGGGTGCCAGTTGTGACGAGAGAGTCACAGGCTCCCTTTGCTGGTACAGAACGAAGACATTTATTGTAGGTGCTACAATTTTATACTCATGCACCCTTGGTCACGTGTAGGAGCCAGGTGCCTTGTGTATGTTTACATCTGGCACAAGCAGCTGCTGAGCTTGCTTACTCCTTTGCTAGCTCTTTTGTTCATAGTGACTTTCTTTGTCCCACACATTACTTTCTTTCTTTAAGGTACTAAAAGCTTGTTAAAGAGAACTGTCTGCTGCCTTGCATTTGTGCAGCACATTGTTAAGGCCACAACACAGGCAGTAGGGTGGAGGCATGTTTTGCAAGGAATGGCTGAGGACACCTGGCTTGCCTAGTCTGGAGAAGAGGAGGCTGAGAGGCAACCTCACTGCTTTCAGCAACTCCCTAAGCAGAGGAAGGTGCTGGGCTGTGCTCCCAGAAACTGATGGCACAAAGCTGTGCCAGAGAAGGACATTAGAAACAATTCCTTTACTGTGAGGATGGTTAAACACTGACACAAGCTTCCTGGAGAGGTAGTAGTCCCATGCCTATCAGTGTTCAAGAGGCATTTGGCTAATTCCTTCAATGACACACTTTAATATTTGCTTAGCCCTAAAAAACCCAGGCAGTTTGACTAGGTGATCCTTGAAGGTTCCTTCCAACTGAACTATTCTATAGTATTTCTATTGCAGAACATACTTTTCCATTTTGCTGCCTTACCCCTGTTTTATCTAAGGCCTCTTAGTGCTGCCATAAAGCAAAAAAATGTAATGCTACATTTTAATAAGTCAATCTAGACTATATAGGCAATTGCTTCCCACATAAGGTAGGGTCACCCTCAATTCAGGCACAGCTGCTGAGTGCCAAGCAAAAATTTCAGCCTAAAACACTTCCTGAGAAATTTTCTTTGGACAAAGTTAATGGCCCCGAGTCTTGCCTCAGGCCATCAACTCTCTCTGTCAGTCATTAATCCCCAGAAATTGCCCAGGGCTTCACTTGTTATTACTTAAACACACTAAGTTAGGTTTTGAACAAACAGAACAATTGAAGGTCAAAATCAGGAAACGTACCCAGTAAAATTCAAAGAAAATTCTGAGAAGTACAAGTATGAATCAGTGCAAGGGATGCAGGGATTTTACGTCACAGGGGACAAGACCAGGAATCCAGGCAGGAGCTTACCTCTGACTTTGCCCAAAACACAAGAAGGACATGGAGTTCTTAGAGCAGGTCCAGAGGAGGGCTATGAAGATGATCAGAGGACTGGAGCAGCTCCTCTGTGAGGACAGGCTGAGAGAGCTGGGGCTATTCAGTCTACAGCAGAAAAGGCTCCAGGAAGATGATTAGCAGCCTTCCAGTACCTGAAGGGAGCTTACGGTAAAGCTGGAAAAAGACTTCTTAGAAGAGCAGATAGCAACAGGACAAGGAGAAATGTAATTGGAAGAAGGTAGATTTAGTCTAGATATCAGGAAGAAAGTCTTTACTGTGAGGTTGGTGAGACACTGGAATGGGCTGCCCAGTGAGACTGTGGATACCTCCTCCCTGGAAGTATCCAAGGCCAGGCTGGATGGGGCTGTGAGCAACCTGGTCTAGTGGGAGGTGTCCCTGCCTGCAGCAGGGGGATGGAACAAGGTGATCTTAAAGGTCCCTTCCAACCCAAACCATTCTACGACTCTGTGGGCTTCAAGTCAGATGCTTAATGCTCTGAACTCTCATCTCTGGCCCTGGGTCAGGTGATAGGAAGCGGTCATAAACACTGAAAAAATTCTAAATTACAGTTACATTATATTTTCAATAATCCTGACAGAGATTAGGCATTTCAATTGCGGTCTGTCACAGACTCCACAGATGCTGGAAAGACTTCTTTCTATACTTTCCAAGGAGAAAACGTACTTGAGAGCTACCTTTATGATATATTTGCTTGGTTCCCCTTTCCCCAGCCCAATAAAAGCTCCTAGAGACTGTAACAGAGTAGAACTGCCACAATTCAGAGTCCATAGACCTTGATAATAAACTGATATTGAAATACAAATCAAGTAAGGTAATATCTACAGAAAATGTGAGTGTCATCATTTTATAGGCCATAAAAAAAAACAATGAAACATGCAAGTTAACTAATGCCAAATGACCAAGCAAACAGGACTCAGTATTGCTATAGGTTTGTCACTTAGTCCATATACAGCAACCAGCTAGACAAAGAGAACTGATTTTCATACATGTTCACTACTGTCAAAGTCTCTTGGAGTCTGCACAAGCAAATCTCCTCCATGTGTTTACACAAGTAGATCAACCACTACAATGCCAGGAAAAGTCATGCAAATTGGTTTGTTATTCTAATAAATACATTGTAATTAATTTTCTCCCTTTGCAATACAATGTAACACTACAGGAATTGCCCAGGTATAGCATCAATCAAGCTGAAATTAAGGGCATCCTGCAAAGAGTAAGCAAGATTTCATTCTAAGAGCATACAGGAAGAGAAGGAAGAGGCCTTGTTTGACAGAAAAATAATACATTCTGTTTTGAGCCAGACAGTCAGATCTCACTCAGTGGCATACTGTAAGAGATACAACAGACAAGAAAACACCATACATCCAGGCTAAGACAACATCCTCCCTCCCTCCCTCCCAGAATACTCTATAGTAATATTAAGCTCAGTTTAAAATTACACTAGCAATTATTCAGACACTGATTTCTGCTAATTCCAAGACTGCTGTGGTAAATAAAAATGGATCTAACCTCACCCAATACATATTCTAAAACTGCTGCAAGAAATGAGGAGTTTCAGATTGAATCAAGTCGTAGGTATTTAAGTGACAACACAAATACAAGCAATTTATAATTCCAATGCAGGCAGCTTCTGATATTAACTTCCTTTAAAACAGCACTGCCTTCAGTAATTTACTTAACTAAAAGAGACAGAATTACCCTCAAGAAGTTTTCAAACTTCTTTTCCCCCCCCAGTGGCACCCACTTCTTCAATACATGTACAGAACCAAGTTCTATGAAGCTGGAATACGATTACTTCACTCTCTGGTCTAAACCACAGCATTAGAAACACAAACAACAGCATCTGCTCTTGTTTTTCGTTGGTTTTTTTTTTTTTCCCCATTGGAATTTACAAGGAGTAAAATATGCCCTTAATTTTCGTTCTCTCTAACAAGAAAAAGAGAAGGCTTTTGAGCATCACCTCTATAGAGGTCCTTGATCTCCAAATTCATACTAAAACCAGACCCTACGGACATCAAATTGATGCAGCTGAATAGATGATGAATAGATGATCCATTTTTAGGCTTCACGCTATTTTCATACTGAAACAAGGATAACATTAATGCAAGACCAAAGAAAGCAGCACCTAAGCTAAGATATAGGGCAGACTGACTATAATGTAAATATGAGCATTTTGTGTCAGGTGCTGATTTGGAAACTACAGATGTATATGTTATGTATGAAAAACAACGCACAAACAATTAGGTAGAACTGAGTATCTAATCCCAAAAGAAATGATATGTGCAATTCTCTAAGTTCTTATGTGGAACAAATAGCTTTGTGCTTTCCCTTTCTTGAAACAAAGATAAAAAACAGTTGAACATTTAATAGACCAGTAACAGAGGAACTCACTTCTCTCAATGCATTCTCTTACAAAACTTTCATCAGTTTGAAAGCTTCCATTATTTTACAGTTCTTACAATCCACATGCAGAAAACTATAGACTATTACGTGCTATTTGTGAAGAGCTACAGGAACCCAAAAGACACACTTGGTTCTGTATTTACTGACTTCTCTTCTACCTCTTGATTAGCAAGAGGCATAAGAAGATGGTATTACCTTCTAGTTCCTCCTAAGAAGAGAATATTCTACCCACCTACTTAAGTTTATTTATTATTAGATCTCAGCTTAAGGGAATCCCATCAGACGTGCAGGATATTTCTACCTTACAAAAGCTCCACTCAAACTCCATAACTGTAAAGGAAAACAAAACCCTATTTGTTCAAAATTACTGCTTGCTACATTCTTCTATTAGTTCTTGGAAGCAGTGAAAATGCTTCTCATAAGTTGTTGAAAACCAGGCGCAGAATCATTACAAACCTCAATAAGCACATTTAAGAAAATGATGATAAACACAACTGTTGAAAAGAGCAATGACTATAGAGAACTCCCTCAAAGAAAACAGACTTCATCAAAAAAAAAAATTCTTCCATAGCAGGCCAGCCCTTAAATAAACCCAGGCCAAGCAGGAAACAGGTGAATTTCTTGCATCTCCAAATCGGGGAAAAGCCATCCAGGTGTGCACTATCACTATCATTTTAGGCGATGACATAACACCTCCCCTATACCTTTCTTGCCTTATCAATATTCAATGTCATAACTGTCATTCTTTTGCATCTGGATAAGTTTTGTAAAAGTTCTGGTTTTCTTTTCATAAAGAAGTAATTTCCAACTGCTAGTTAAGGTACAAAACTGGCAAAGGTTCATCTCAATTTATGTAGATGAAAATGACAATATCTGTACACTAAAAGAAGAGTACCTTAAAATATCAGGACAGATAATTAGGCAAGAAATTGAGATTCAACAATGAAACTTAAAGCATTTAAGATTAGAAATTATGGAAAAAAATATTAACAAGTTTATCATAAAATTTACCAGAAATCAAAGAGGAGGAAGACGACAAAAAAAAAACAACGGGAAGAGGTGGAGGATTATGATAACAAGGAAAAAAACCAACAAGGACAACAAGAAAAGGTGGAAAAGGAAAAATAGGAGGGGGAGAAGCAAAAGGAAAGACGACAACAAAAGGAGAAGCTGCAGCAACAGAAGGAGAACGGCAGCAAAACCAGGAGGAAGAGAGAAGGAGACAGAAATCACCAGAGCAGGAGGGTACAAAGAAGGACAGCGGCGAACACTGGAGGAGAAGCAGGAAGGTGGCTACGATGAAAGGAGGAGGAAGAGGACAGTGACAACAAATGGTGAGGAAGGAGAAAGGTGAGGAGAACAGCGACTGTAAAAGGAGGAGAAAGGAGAGGAGAAAGAAAAGGTAAGTTAAAACACGTAGAGATAGATGAGGAGGGGTATGAGGAGTTAGAGGCAAACAGGAAAAAAGGATGAGGAGGAGGAGGAAAAGGAAGAAAATGTGATGGGAAGACGAGGAGGAACTAGCAATGACAAAAGAAAAAGAAGGACAAGGAAATAGAAGAGGAGGAGAGATGATATAGTAAAAGGAAAACACGGAGCAGAAGCTACAGGGGGAAAAAGAAAGAAACACTTTTCAAAGAACACAAAGGTGGAGTGGAGAAGTAAGACAAAAAAAATGATAAATAGGAGAGGAGCAGGTCGAAGTGGAGGAAGATCAGGAGGAGGAGGAGAAGGAAATAAGAAGCAAAAAATGAAGAGGAAGAGCAGGAAAAGAGAAGCAACCACAAAATGACGACGGTAAGGTAAAGGTGGAGGTGAAGGACGAGGAGGAGGAGGACAAGGAGGAGGAAATTGAAGGTAAAAAGGAAAGAAAAGGCAGGTAGAGAAAAAGAGCAGAAAAAGTGAAATGAAATGGAGGAGCTGGAGGTGGTGAGAAAGAATACAAGGAAAAAAGTGGTGACCCTGAAATTACACAGAGGAAGATAACAAAAGCAGAAACCACACAATTCGGTGGAGGAGGAGAAGGAGCAAAAAATGGACAGAAAGAAGAAAAGATGAGCAACATCAAAATAAGGTGGAGGAGGTGGAGGTGGAGAAGGATGAGGAGGAGGACGAAAAAAGCAGAAACCATGACAATAGAAACAGGACAAGGACGGGGAGGATGAGGCAAAAAAAAAGTGACGACTATGAATCCAAAGTAGGAAGATGAAAAAAAATAAACCACAAAACCAGTCGGAGGAGCAGGAGGAGGAGGAGGTGCAGGAAAAAAGGAGAAACCACAAATTGAGGAGAAAGAGGAAAAAATTAGCATCTTAACATCTGGCGGAGGACGACATGGTGGAAGAAAAAAGCAGGAACGATGAAATGATGACCAGGAGGAGGAGGAAGAGGTATAGGTGGAGGTGGAGGAGGAGGTTGAGGTGGAGGAAAAAAAAGTGGCAAGCAGGAGTTCACAAGTAGAAGGAGGAAAGAAACAGTAACCACGAATTAAGGCAGAGGAGGTAGAGGTGATCCTGCAGGAGAAGGAGGAGAAAGACGAAAAAAACAGCGATGGAAAAATGAAGAGGAGGAGGTAAAAAGCAGCAGAAAGGAAATCAGGTGGGTAAGTTGCAGGTGGAGGTAGAGGAGGAGAAGGAGGAGGAGGCAAAAAGCAGGAATGATGAAATGATTAGGAGAAGGAGGTGGAGCAGGAGCAGGAAAAGGAGAAGGTGTTGGAAGAGGATGAGGAAGAGGTAAAAAAAAGTGGCCACCAAGAATTCACAGGTAAGAAGAGGAAAAAAAAACAGAAACCACAAAATAAGGTGGAGGAGGTGCAGGTGGTGCTGGTGGAGGAGGAAAGGAGGTGGTGAAGGAAAAAAGGAGCAACCACAAATTGAGGAGATGGAGGAAAAAATCAGCATCTTAACATCTGGCGGAGGAGGACGTGGTGGAAGAAAAAAGCAGGAACGATGAAATGATGACCAGGAGGAGGAGGAGATAGAGCTGGAGGTGGAGAAAGAGGAGCAGAAAGAGGAAAAAAGCAGCGACTGAACAATGAGGAGGAGGTAAAAAGCAGCGGAAAGGAAATAAGGTGGGTAAGTTGCAGGTGGAGGTAGAGAAGGAGAAGGAGGAGAAGGCAAAAAGCAGAAATGATGAAATGACTAGGAGAAGGAGGAGGACGTGGTGAAGCAGAAGGAGGAAAAGGAGGAGGTGGCGGAAAAAAAAGTGGCCACCAAGAATTCACAAGTAGGAAGAGGAAAAAAACAGAAACCACAAAATAAGGCGGAGGAGGTGGAAGTGGTGGTGGTGGAGGAGGAGGAGGAGGAGGAGAAAAAAAGGAGCAACCACAAATTGAGGAGAAGGAGGAAAAATATCAGCATCTTAACATCTGGCGGAGGAGGACGTGGTGGAGGCAAAAAGCAGGAACGATGAAATGATGACCAGGAGGAGGAGGAGCAGAAAGAGGAAAAAAGCAGCGACTGAAAAATGAGGAGGAGGAGGTAAAAAGCAGTGGAAAGAAATAAGGTGGGTAAGTTGCAGGTGGAGGTAGAGAAGGAGGAGGAGGCAAAAAGCAGGAATGATGAAATGACTAGGAGAAGGAGGAGGACGTGGTGAAGCAGGAGGAGGAAAAGGAGGAGGTGGTGGAGGAGGAGGAGGCGGCAGAAAAAAAAGTGGCCACCAAGAATTCACAGGTAGGAAGAGGAAAAAAAACAGAAACCTCAAAATAAGGCGGAGGAGCTGGAGGTGGTGGTGGAGGAGGAGGAGGAAGAAAAGAAGCAACGAGGAAACGATGAGGAGATAGAAAGGAAGGAGGAGCAAGAAATAAAAGGCGACGAAAACAAAATGACAAGGAGTTCAAGGAAAAAGCAGCAACCACAAAATGAGCTAGAGGAGGAGGAGGAGGAAAAAGCAGCAACTTTGAAATATGGTGGAGGAGATGGAGGTGGAGGTGGTGGTGGAGGAGGAGGAGGAAAAAAGCAGGAAAGATGAAATGATGATGATGAGGAGGAGGAGGAGGAAGAGGAGGAGGAGGAGGAAAAAAAAAGCAGTGAAAAAAACCCCATGAAATGACAACAAGGAAGATGAAAACCAGAAACCACAAACTGTGGTGGAGAAGGTGGAGGTGGTGGTGGAGGCGGAGGAGGAGGAGGAAACAAGAGGTGATGATGAAATGACACAGAAAGATGGAAAAAGCAGAAACCCCACAATTAGGTGGAGGAGGAGGAGGCAAAATATAGCAACCAAAAAGTGAGGAGGAGGAGGAAAAGATCAGCAATTTCAAAATATGGCAGAGGAAGTGGTGGAGGTGGTGGTGGAGGAAAAAAGCAGCAACCATGACATTAGACAGAGAAGGTGGAGGAGGAGGAAAAAAAACTGGCAACCATGAATTCACAAGTAGGAAGAGGAAAAAGACAGAAAGCACAAAATAAGGCGGAGGAGGTGGAGGTGGTGGAGGAGGAGAAGGAGAAAGAAAGCAATAACCACAAATTGACAAGGAGGAAAAAATCAGCATCTTCAAAATAAGGCAGAGGAGGAGGCGGTGGAGGAGGTGGAAAAAAAAAGTGGCAAGCAGGAATTCACATGCAGGAAGAGGAAAAAAACAGAAACCACAAAATGAGGCGGAGGAGGTGCAGGTGGTGGTGGTGGAGGAGGAGGAGGTGGTGGAGGAAAAAAAGAAGCAACCACAAATTGAGGAGAAGGAGGAAAAAAATCAGCATCTTAATATCTGGCGGAGGAGGACGTGGTGGAAGAAAAAAGCAGGAACGATGAAATGATGACCAGGAGGAGGAGGAGATAGAGCTGGAGGTGGAGAAAGAGGAGCAGAAAGAGGAAAAAAGCAGCGACTGAACAATGAGGAGGTGGTAAAAAGCAGCGGAAAGGAAATAAGGTGGGTAAGTTGCAGGTGGAGGTAGAGAAGGAGAAGGAGGAGGAGGCAAAAAGCAGGAATGATGAAGTGACTAGGAGAAGGAGGAGGACGTGGTGAAGCAGGAGGAGGAAAAGAAGGAGGTGCTGGAGGAAGAGGAGGAGGAGGCGGCGGAAAAAAAAGTGGCCACCAAGAATTCACAGGTAGGAAGAGGAAAAAAAACAGAAACCTCGAAATAAGGCGGAGGAGGTGGAGGTGGTGGTGGTGGAGGAGGAGGAAAAAAAACGTGCCAATCAGGAATTCACATGTAGGAAGAGGAAAAAGACAGAAACCACAAAATGAGGCGGAGGAGGTGGAAGTGGTGGTGGTGGTAGAGGAGGAGGTGGAGGAAAAAAAGAAGCAACCACAAATTGAGGAGAAGGAGAAAAAAATCAGCATCTTAACATCTGGCAGAGGAGGATGTGGTGGAGGAAAAAGGCAGGAACGATGAAAGGATGACCAAGAGGAGGAGGAGGAGATAGAGCTGGAGGTGGAGGAGCAGAAAGAGGAAAAAAGCAGCGATTGAACAATGAGAAGGAGGAGGTAAAAAGCAGCCGAAAGGAAATAAGGTGGGTAAGTTGCAGGTGGAGGTACAGGAGAAAAAAGGAGGACGAGGCAAAAAGCAGGAATGATGAAATGACTAGGAGAAGGAGGAGGATGTGGTGAAGCAGAAGGAGGAAAAGGAGGAGGTGGTGGAAAAAAAAGTGGCCACCAAGAATTCACAAGTAGGAAGAGGAAAAAAACAGAAACCTCGAAATAAGGCGGAGGAGGTGGAGGTGGTGGTGGAGGAGGAGGAAGAGGAGGAGAAAAAAAAGGAGCAACCACAAATTGAGGAGAAGGAGGAAAAATATCAGCATCTTAACATCTGGCGGAGGAGGACGTGGTGGAGGCAAAAAGCAGGAACGATGAAATGATGACCAGGAGGAGGAGGAGCAGAAAGAGGAAAAAAGCAGCGACTGAAAAAAGGGGAGGAGGAGGTAAAAAGCAGCAGAAAGAAATAAGGTGGGTAAGTTGCAGGTGGAGGTAGAGAAGGAGGAGGCGGCAAAAAGCAGGAATGATGAAATGACAAGGAGAAGGAGGAGGACGTGGTGAAGCAGGAGGAGGAAAAGGAGGAGGAGGCAGAAAAAAAAAGTGGCCACCAAGAATTCACAGGTAGGAAGAGGAAAAAAACAGAAACCTCGAAATAAGGCGGAGGAGCTGGAGGTGGTGGTGGAGGAGGAGGAGGAAAAAAAGAAGCAACGAGGAAACGATGAGGAGATAGAAAGGAAGGAGGAGCAAGAAATAAAAGGCGACGAAAACGAAATGACAAGGAGTTCAAGGAAAAAGCAGCAACCACAAAATGAGCTGGAGGAGGAGGAGGAGGAAAAAGCAGCAACTTTGAAATATGGTGGAGGAGATGGAGGTGGAGGAGTTGGAGGAGGAGGAGGAAAAAAGCAGGAAAGATGAAATGATGATGATGAGGAGGAGGAGGAGGAGGAAGAGGAGGAGGAGGAGGAAAAAAAAAGCAGTGAAAAAAACCCCATGAAATGACAACAAGGAAGATGAAAACCAGAAACCACAAACTGTGGTGGAGAAGGTGGAGGTGGTGGTGAAAGCGGAGGAGGAGGAGGTGGAGGAAACAAGAGGTGATGATGAAATGACACAGAGAAAGATGGAAAAAGCAGAAACCCCACAATTAGGTGGAGGAGGAGGTGGTGGAGGCAAAACATAGCAACCAAAAAGTGAGGAGGAGGAGGAAAAGATCAGCAATTTCAAAATATGGCAGAGGAAGTAGTGGTGGTGGTGGTGGTGGTGGAGGAGGAGGAGGAAAAAAGCAGAAACCATGACATTAGACAGAGAAGGTGGAGGAGGAG